GCCTGGAAAGCTACCACAGGCTGAGCTCACTTCGTGGAATTGTGCTAGTAGGGCGTAATTTTGGGGCCAACCCAACACAGTCATCTTTTGTTTAGTTGGTGCGCGGCATAAAAATACCAGTGTGTGCGAGTCACATTGTTGCTGCGGTTTTTGCGTAACATGATGATGTGTCGTGTTGCAACAGCTGCTCCGACACACTTTGCGCTGCAGCGTTGAGTCAGCCAAAGGCGGATTTGATTGAGTTATAAATTTACAGCCTGCAGTGACAACAACAACAACCTCGAGCCATAATGAGCTGATGCAGAGGTGTCATTTTATTTCACTTCATTTTCATGTGATTTATGTCGAGTATCATGGTATAAAATGGCGGCGCATGACACGGCTTTTTTACAGCGGGGGTGAAGCTCCAGGTCTTGAAACCTGAGCCAATAAAGGTCGGCTTCACTGTCACCCTGATGAGACTTTTCCCAACTCTCTAAAAATAAATGAGTTTCGTCTGCTCGATGTTCTGATCCAATTATTGAACATCCTCCCAGAAATCAACAGCTAATGATCATGTGAGCCTAACAAACATCAACTGTGCCGTGCTAGCAGGGTGCGTGATGTTAATTAGAGCTGGGGAAATGTCAGCAATCACCGTTTTTCTACCTGTAATTTGCACAATTTAAGTTCTGGTGTGACTGAAAGGGCACTCGCTCAGTATCAGTCTCATGTGCAGGTGCTGGGTTTGGTATGAGGAAGGAAAAATAAAACTTGGTTGACTCTGAGGAGCTAATTCACAAACTCTGGGTTGTGGCTGCCGGTAGCATGACTTGCACATCATGTACCGCCGCTATCGAGTCAATTAAACCCTCATTAGGGGAGAGTTTGATCGTTAAGGCGGAATTTTGTGCCTGAACTGCTCATGGCTGCTGGCGCTGGACTTTTTGGAGTTGATTTTTGCTAAAAGATTCATAAAAGCCAAAAAATCTGCATAACGGCTGATTCAAATATGTGCAAACACAGTCCCTGTTTGTTCTGCTGTGCAGTTTGAGCGGCATTAAACTTTTGCATGTGCGTTACACATTCTCTGGATCTCTGTTGCAAAAGTCAAGTAGGTGCAAAAGCTACCTGATCCAAATTCCCATAGTTTAGATATATCAGGTCCCGGTTTCACCTTCGGGGCTGTACTCAAAGTTGTGTCATACGTGTACTTTTTAACTTTTCGTCTTTCGTTTACAAAAGAAGTGAAACGACGCAGGAACTCTCAGCAGCATCAGAGTAAGTCTTTCCTGCGGTGTGGAAGTTGAAGTGTCGGCAGTGTTGGCAGCCGCGCACATAAGAGGGCCGCTCAGTGAAAACTGGCATGTTGATGCTTTCATGCCACTGTCACGCTGTTCACAAGGTGCCCCGGAGGAGTGTCACAACGCATTCTTCTCACTAAGCCGAGCATGTCCCTGTCACACTCCGGGTTGCTTTAGTCAGACGGCATTCCTCTCCTGCCATCTGTCCCCGGCGTTACGGTCACATGCGATAGTTATTAAAGTCACCTCGGTTCATGTTTTCACTCCGAAGCAGCTGCACACTTCACAGTTTTATGCTGATTCAACAAGAAAGCAGCAATCCTCTTTTAATACTCGAAATGTCCAATTTATACTTCTCTTAACCCGAATATCCAACATGAGAAACGTCGGCTGAGACACCTGTATGTCCGCCACACATAATTTCTACAACTGTCAATTTTTACCACATCAGAGGTCAAAACGATTTACTTTAAAAGACGCTTAAAATCCAACATTGAATTCTAACTGTGGCTTGACCTTTTTGTGGAGGCCGTCAATGAGCAGAAAATTTAAAAAAACAAAAGCTTGAGTCATTTTTGTGAACATTTTCAGTTTCTTGAACAGCTGATGGAAAGTATTGAACTTTTTCCCCTTAAATTTAAATGTTCGGAGATGTGCTGTAAATGCATTTTTGTCATATCCGGACAAACTTCGAGAAGCTCTAACGTTGTCTCTGAGGTATTTTAAGGAGCATATCGTGACATTAATCGAAAGAGGAAAAGGAAGTTCTCGTGTCGTCCTAACGTGTCAAACTATTACACCACACCATCTGAGTGTTCCCCGCCTGGCGCTGCCTGGTGTAGCTCGGCTGCTGGTACATTTGTTGTGTTGCGGTTTCCTCACCAACGTGTTTCACCTCCTCTTTCCTCTCCCTCTGAAGAAGCAGAGGAGGCGCCACATGGTACCCCGCTCTGAGCACATGGTCTCAGCTAAACCCAGGCTGCAGTCTGGTTTACGGAGGAGCGAATCATGTGCACAAGCAGGGTGACGGTATGAAAATCCTGCAGATTTTATAGCAAGTTTGCACACAGTCACCGTGTTGTGTTTGGTGATGTGCCGTGACCACAGTTCTGTGACTCAGAGGATGTGGGTTAAAGGTGAGATGTAGTGCTGGAGCATTAATTACAACCATTGCCACAGAGATCTATATGAAGACCCTCTTTTTAACCTTTTTTTAAAGTACTCCGTAGAGGCAAATCTTTTTTTTAAGGACACAGCTTTTACTTGAAAATAGTGACAGAAACACGTTGAATAAGACAAGTTCTGTTGCCGATATCTCCTCGTAAAGAATTAAAATTGAATTAAAATACAATTAAATGTATATAATGGTACCAGCAGGGACATAAAAATGAAAATAAGCTCTTGTTTATACATTTTAATCCATCCCTTTTAGTAAAACAGCGATACATATCCTCTGTGATGATCTCCAGCTCCAACAACATACATGTATATAAATCCGAGAGGGGTGTTTCATCCTGTTACAGTATTTTACCCAGAAGATGGCGCTTTAAGAGGCAAGCAACAGTTTCAAATGCACAAAACATGATAGATACAGTAAAACATAGGAAATATGAAGGTGTCGCGTGAAAGACAGATATTTAAAAGCTTCCTTTCCAACACAGTTTAGATTAGGTAGGGGGACCAAAAAGAGGACACGACGACGCGGGGCGGAGTCATGGAGTCGCACGTAGTTAATTTTGAGAGTTTTTCGGGTCGGCTCGGGTGTCTTCTACGTGCTTCTAACTCAGTAAGTCCACACGACACAAACTCGAAACTTCTATACGAAACCCCGAACATTTGAAGGATTTTATTAACTTCCCTGGACAAAGTCGGACAAGGCCGAACAGCCCCCAAAAAAGGGAACATGTCCAGGTTAAAGAGGACGTATGGGCATTGGATCAGTTCAACAGGGGACAGATGAATGTACATGAGGACACATCAAGTTAAAAGACGATATGATGAAACATTTGGACGTCAGAAAGGTCATTTGTGCTTTCAAAAGGCGTGTTTTACGGGCGCTCTGAACCCTGTGGTTAAAAAGCTTCCTGTTTGTTGTTCTGTCTGGACGGCGGCGGCAGCAGAACCTCGGTTAGCTTCATACAGCAGAGATGAAAGTGAGGCATATATTCAGAAGCTAATTGCAATCAGGACTTAAAAGGCTGCAGCTTGGCGGAGATGGCAGAATATACGATGTGATGAGCGCATAAATCAGAGACAGAGAAAATGCATTATTCACAGTGCAGATAGGATGGACATCATTTGTCTGCTTCCATTTGGAGTCCGAGCACTCAAGGCAATTTGACCACAGTGTTGCTCTTCAGAGGGGATCCATTAGTTATTGGCAGAATAACCCGGGGCTTATAAAACACATTGACTCCATCCTATTTCCTGTCCATTCGGAGCCCTTTGATGCTTCACGATCTCCTGTTATATCTCAGATACCGCGTCTCGCCTCCGCCGGCGTGAAGGAGGGGCATCTGCGCAGTTTTTCGGGGAACATCTGGGAGTGAAATGTTTGTGAAATGAGTGTCTTTTGGATGGTGGAAAAGCATAATTTGATGTGTCACCTTGGAGATGGCAGTTGACAGCTGTTCCATGCACAAGCTGGGTTTAATTGGCGGGGAAATTAGCCTGACCTTGACTGCGGCGGCGATGCCTGCCACTTGAAATGACATTGTTGTAATTTTCAACAGCGGCGAGCAAACACTCTGAGCATTAATTATACGCTGGAATGTGCCTTGGTGCAACAGACACACTCAGTGAATACTTATGTAAGCCGTCGCTCCAGTCTCCATGGTAACCCCCAGCATCCTCACACACGCCTCCTCCGATCTGCCTCCCCTGAAGTGGGCTGTTTCCATGGAAACCAGGCAGCAGCTGCCTTTGATGATGGCTCTCATGAAATGACACCCGCTGATAACGCCGGCTCCTCTGAGGCTCGGAGAGGGAGGATGGATGGATGGAGGTGGGAGGGAAATTATGCAGAAAGAGAAGGCGAAAGACAATTATTTCTCGCCGAAACTGAGTCACCTAACTGCACAGAGGCAGGCCGCGCTCTGGGGGGAGGACGCGGAGAGGCAGCTGGCGGTGTTTCAGCGACCATCAAGAGCATACTGACACACTGTGTTTCAGTGTGAAGGCTGCTCCTCTGCAGACAAAGAAGCCGTACAAAGAGGGTTTAAAATAGCTGGAAAAAAAAAAAAAAAACACATCACCAAACCTCCTGCTGTTGTCTCTGGAGGGCATCGCTATCTCACACTGCTTCAGCAGCACAACCATCAAAAACTCCACAACCCTCAATCACCACCTTTTGAACCGTTCCCCTTCAGCAGGTAGTCTAGGTCTGCCAAAACGCACACCTCCAGATTTTGGAGTTTATTCCCTAAAGCCAAAATCACATACACATCAAACACACACACAAAAAATATAGAACATTTTCTCAGAGTCTGAAATTTAGTCCTGTGGTGTTCTGGTTCCTGTTTGTGGCATGCTTGTAAACCAAGTGGTACTGACCAATCACATATTGGTGCAAACAGAACAAAATAATCTGTATGGAGAGCAAAAGTAGGTAGAAAACACTCCATTATAATGACATCTCTGCTCCTGTCAGCGGTATGTGTGTTTAGGTACAGCGAACAAATTGCTCTAGATCAAGCAGTTAGATTTAGGGCTCTTAGATTTCCTGACTGCTACTAGAAAATCATGGAAAAATCTGTATCGCTGTCAAATTCTTCAGAGTAAAGGTCCTTACACACCGGGGCCGACATGAATATAGAACACGAAATCACGAAATACAGTATATACAGTATATTACAGCTCTCAATATTACCAATGTAATCACTTCATTAAGAGAAAAGCTCTCCTCTGATTGGCTGATGGAAATGTGAATATCATATCTGCGACACTATTTTGGTGAGTTTGGAGATGACGGTCTACTAAATGAGATGAACCTTTTATTTGATCTGAACTTACTCAACCTGCTGACTGGACTGTAAACAATGAAAGCTCAGAAAAAAAGGAGTGTTTGCTGTGAGTCAGTTTATGCTTTCTGCTGGAAATATTCAGAAGTTAGTGACAGTTCCCACAATCACATATCTTATCGTATCATACCCGTGATTGTGACCTTATTCATCCAAGTTCTGTATTTACAGTATATATTCTATATCTATCTAAATGTTACGTCCAAAGCTCGGTTTGTTTACATCCAGTCGGACTCATGTGTTCACATGTATTTTAAAAGTCCAGTTTCATCAGATCCACATTTAGAACAGTGTGTTCATGTACTGACTGAAGCAGAGCTGAATGACAACACAGACTCTGACTCTGGTTCTGAATCTCTCCCAGCTGGAGAGCTTCACCTGGCACCTCAGCTCAGCGACAGGAACACTGCGAACCAGATGAGGCTGAACATGGAAGACTCCTCGCCACATTAGGGCCAGCTTGATTCACACGCCTCCTTTTGATGCGTGCGTCACTTTTAAAAAAAAAAAGTGTCATCAAATTTTTGTGCCTTGGCTGCGAGGGTAAGAGAAATGTTTGATGGAGAGGTTGATGCTCCACCATCTGCTGCGTTTTTTGATCGACTTTTTCAAACAGAAAAGTGTCAAAGTGTCAGAATACTTTCCTCCTCTCCTCGGCTTCCACGCCACCGGCTCCACAACCCTCTGACTGAGCTAATAATACCTGTATTTTCCATTTAGCACTCTGTATGTGTGTGAGTGAGCTTTCTGACCTTCCTTTTTCGCACTCATCATGTGTGGGAGATCCTGTTGCATCAGGAGCAAACTGTTTGTGGTTACAAGTGACTGTTATTCATCCCTGTTGTGCAACATCCTCGAATAACCATACAGATACCGTTTTTGGCGGTGCTAACTGAAATTGGCTCTAAAATCGACTCCGCCTCGTGTTGGCTGAGAGCTGTGCAGCGTGGGTAATGTAGGAGCAAGTCTGGGTGTCGGTGGGCAGATGAAGCTTCTAACCTGAATGCGAGTCTCCTGCCTGTGGGCTACAGCGGCGCTCGGCTCACCAGGTGGAGAAAATAGCTCTGGCACCGGCGAGCAGATCAAAGTGATCAGACAAGTAATCCCCCATGAGTCAGAGAGAAAGCAGCTGGGGGGGAGGGAGGTGAGGAAGGGAGACAAATCTTAATGCTTCTTATTTTATTACTTTCCCTCATTCACACAGACACACAGAGGAGGTCAAAATACACTCCACTGAAGACTTCAGGGAAGGTTAACGAACCATCAAACTCCATTAGCATGACCTCTTGGGGCTCTGCCATGATGCTATAACGCTCTACTACCCGGATCTCAATAAGCACAGATGACATCCCGTAGAGTTGAAGGTTCATCTGTATTCTGATTTAGACATAGAGATAAAGTTGTAGATGAGCTCTCCGGTATGACGCATGACCAGCTCAGGCCTGGAGAGAGTGGAAGCGTTGGGTTCAAACCAGCGTGACCGTGTTAACCTGCAGACGTCGTGATCCCGTGTTTAGTCATGTTTGAAAAAAATCGTTTTCTGGGTGTTTTCTGACTGAAACCACACCTGTTCCTTTGACAATAACACACACACATTAGACATCTAAGACCCTCAGGTGTGTGCAGTCCAGACATTCAGGGTTATTACAGGTTCGACTCCCTAAAACCCACAGAGCGCTCCATCCCAGAAGGGTCACCCTGCCCCACTCCACTGAAGACATGTGCCAAGTCTCTTTTTGACCGTAGACGAAGCCTCGATGTCGTCCCCCTTTGGTCCTGAATCCTATCAGCGGTGGTCGCCATATTGGTGGTGGGCTTTTAGTCTCTCTGCAAACAGCTACTGTGCACCTGCCTGTTAGTCATGCTTCACTTTCATGCATGTGGCTCCAAGTTCAGACATCAGACACCCCTCTCTCTCTCTCTCTCTCTCTCTCTCTCTCTCTCTGTCTGATTGCCCTGGAGCATCTGTTTGTGATGTTTTCATCATGTTATTTTATCTGGTAAATACACAGAGGAGTGCGTGTGAATTCTCCATTTTAAAAGTCGTCTCATAAAGCCTCAAATTGGTGTTGACGTCAGGAGGGAAATGTGGGGTGCAGTTGTCGGGTTGCTTGATCACGGTATGTCGTTTGTGACAGTGAGAAATTGTCGCTCTGTTTTGCATTTTTGCTCCATGGAATTAGGTTGAAATCAGTCAGAGGCTCATAAGTAAAAGTTTGAACTAATAGGAAAATATAATACCCGTCTAAATACAGGTATCTGAAATTTCCACCCAAGAATAATATCACAGTATTCATTCTTTTCACCTCCCACCCCCACATGCAAAGTGTGTTATTTTGTTTATAAGCCTCAGACGGTTGAAATCCTCCCCCGGTGTTTCGCTCTGATCTTCCTGTAAGGTCACTTTGAAGTTAAAGGGTATTTTCGTTTTGAGTGAATCAGAAAATCACCCCGTGAAGACTGTAATTTCCCCCCTGTGAGGAGAGACAGCTGTGTCACTACACGTCTGGCTTTCCTCACAGGGGAATATTCATCCTCTGCAGACTGGTTTCAGACTCAAATCTAATGGGCCTGATGATCTTATGTTTCTGAAACTGAGACTCACCGCTCTCTCTCAGGCTGAATGATTTCACCGCTCTGACACAGACGTTAAGAGTTTGTGGTTATGTGTCATGATGGGGATCGAATGTACAGCCCCGAGAAAGAAAGAAGGAAAAGAGAAAGAAAAAGATAAAGCATGCAAGACCAAGAGCATAAAGTCCCTGAAGTAAAGATGTGGTTAGGTTTGGGTTGAATCAAACTTTCAGACAGGCTGGACTCAGGCTACTGGAGTTTCAAGGAGAAAATGACCCACTTTTACCTCTCTGCTCATGGCCATGTGTTTGCTAACTTAAGGGTTTAGATCGAGTTTTTAACTTACCCAACACGAGAGGACTCGAAGCAGCCAACCCAACAAACGACAGGAAAAAACCGTCAAGATAACAGATGGATGGATATTGTGCTTTTCCTTTCACCGGACTCTTTCATACTTTTGTGAGCCGTGAACTGAGCAGCTCATTTTGCGTCTCATGAACGAGAACGTGAGCGAAGTTGACTGTGGAGACGGTGAACGGCTGCTCGCCTTCTCAGAGGTCTCAAGAGTTACCAAGGGTTAGTAACAGCTGCTGAAGTCAAATTTATGTTTTTTTGTGGGTGGAACCACAACGTACAAATTCTTATGATGTTTCCAGAAAACTGCAATTAGAGAGAGTACCATTATTTTACCTCTGATACCTATTTGGACACATCAGGCCCGATTACATGGCCTTGGTGCACAATCTGGGAGTTAATGGTGCATTCCAATTGTACTCGGAAGTCGGGATTTTCGTGTTCAGAGTCGGAAATTCATCTTGAACGCCCCCCTGAAGTCAGATTTCCAACTCAGAAAGTCGGATGATCCTCATCATAATCGAATGTCATTATCCAAGGTGGCAGCTAAGTACATCAACAGTAAAGAGTAACAGTGAAAGCTCTCATAATGTATTATTTATTATCACTTCTGTTTTGTTTTAGTGAAATTAAATAAGTGGTTTATGTTGTACTGCCCAACGTCTAACTGTTAACATGGTGCTATGGTGTTTATAAGAGTAAAATACTGTGTTATGTGTTGTTTACAACTGGTATAGCTAACAACGACTAATAGTAGGCGTCCATCTTGGTTTTCTGACTTGTCTACTGGAACGCTGTCAACTTGGATGTAACGTCATTCCCGGCTCCGACATCCGACTTCCGAGGTAACTGAAAAGCAGCATAAATGAGACGGGGCTCCTTGATCATTCAGTGGTTTGTTTTTTTGGTGTAGCGTGTCTCTAACCTATCAGTGCGTCTGCCCTCACTCTTTGGTGGGGTGTTACTATTTACACAGCCACTCTACTTTAGTCCACCGGGCTCAGGCTGGTAGACTCACGGGTCACTGCATGAGTTGTGGAAATGTATAAAATGATGCTCAAACACTCCTTTGACCTGAAGAGACTGACAGAGACACGTGTACATTTATGCAGAGTTAACTCAACTAAAGGAACATGCTGACTGTGCTGAACATGATCTAATAGCGGCTAATATCCTGTGCACTTACAGCTCGCTGATCTTAATTGAGTTGTTTCTGCTGCTGGATCACATGGCTGTATTTGATAGTGTGTGTGTGTAATGGATCCTGTTCACTCAGATCTGCGGGCGTCCCCGTTTGTGTCATTCATGGTGAACAGCCATGTCTCAGGGGTTGGAGTGTGTGTGAGCGTGTCTGCCTTTCTCTTTGTTACCATCGTCTTTAACGGGACGATTATATGAGATTGAACTCCATCACGTGAGTCACTCCTACACACAACACCATCTCTTTTTGTGAGTGGTGCCTCATGACTCTCGGTGCGTCTGATGGTTGGAGATTAGACTTAATGTTGTCTAGCTGAAGACAGCCCTCCCTCCAGCCCTCTCGACTGATGTGTCACAGATATTTAAGATGTCTGGCTTCTCTCAGAGATGATTGTTAACTTTCAAAGCTCCAAGTGGAGCTGAGACGCTCTCTCATGATTAAAGAAAAAGTTCCTGATGTCAGTCTTTTCTGGCCTTTGTGTTGGGATGAGCTGATAACCGATCAGCGTCATCCGACAGTCGACTCACTGGGACTTTCAGAGTCTCTGCGTGACTTCAGGTCTCAACATTTTGAGCTCAATGTTTTTGACTCATACTTTCCTGTGTATATCACACTCAGTAGGTGTTCTGTGAGTTCCCTCAGCTATCTAGTCAGACGCTGAAGGCGGTTAAAGCACAGGTGCAAGTGAAAGTACTATCCGGGCAGCAGCAGCAGCAGACAGGCTGGGGTGAGGGTGATGTTTGTTTGGGGCTTTATGCCAAAGAGGAAGTTATTCTGCTCTCGAAGGCTGGGTTGTGAAAATACAGTACACCCGCACAGATGGCCACGATGAGTCACGTCACAAGGCTTCCTCCTTTTCTGCCGGATAATCCTCATCAATTAGCTCCATTGTCAGCTGGCTTTTCACTCGGCTGAAATTGATGCCTGAATGCTCAGCGGCGGAGAATCTGGGCCTCCTTTTCCTTTGAACGGTGACTCACCCGTCGGGGAGAAAAATCTTTTATTGTTGGAGCTTTTCTCCTCAGTGACTTTAGATGATTTATTTACGAAGCCGCAGGCAGTCGGAGCTAAACCCTCCCACCGTGTACTGTCAGGAATAAAGACGCAGTTGCATCATAGTGGTTTTTTTTCATCAGTTAGCACTGAAGGCACGCCCAAAGGGGGATAAAAACTGCACTTGTGGGAAAGATGGAGGACGGGCTCTTACCTGTCCTTGTCCTGCTTTCAGGGTTTGAATGAGGTTTTGTTATCTCTGCGATTTGCTTTCATGGTATCAGTGACGGGAACTGGATACAGTCACATGAGATTTTCAGAGGCAGATGTGCTTCTGGAAATGTTATCCCTGCCGCCGACACAGAGACACACGAAAACACACAAAAGGAATGTCAGGGCTCTATAAAAAAGACTTAAAGCAGGACAGTGGATCACTTCCTGGATTAAACTTGACCTTTGGACCCGGCGTGCACTGATACTTCAGACGGGCGTGGCAGGAAAAGGGCAGAAGAAAGAAGCAATTAGACACTGTGTCAGGACCGAGTGACAAATCTGCGTTGTAGGATATCCCACATGACCCCATTCCCATAAACCGCTGAGATAAAGTCCACAATAGATCCTAACGCCGCACCGACCGTTAATCATTACAAAGAATCCACCATCAGGTGTTGAAGGCGAGGGGTGGTGTTTATGATGACAAATGCACACCTGATGGTAGGAAGTCCAGCCCCCTTTTTGATTTTGATCGATCAGCTGACATTAGAGGGTGTTTTTGCTCTTAGATCACAGTAAACAGAATTGTTTTTGTATCACAAAGTGGTCATGCTAGGGCAAAAAAAGCAAGTGCTGGGAACGGGCCTAAATCCGAATGAGGTTACTTTTATTAATATTGAACATATCGCAAATGTTATCCGTGCAGACTCTGTTTTACTGTACTTTAAGATGGTGAGATTAGATTTCAAAAGGCAAACACTATAACACCCCCTTCAGTTCATATCACAGTGTTCAATTTTAGACCTCTTACAGGAGGAGGTGTGTGATCCTGTGCGACTTACGGTCTGTCTCTGTAATGGAATCTGTGAATGGTACAAACGCATGTGTTGTCATGGTGTGAACAACACTTGCATCACTATGTAGGTGTGTGACAGTCAGGAGCCTCGCCGTTAAAGAAATGGAGATGGTGCACCTGTTCACTCTCGGAAAGTGGGACAGCTACAGAAACTTAACGCTGACACGGTATCAACAGGCCTGCATACAGTTAAGGCTATTTCTATTATTTATTTCTAACAAACCACCTTTACTTAGTGGGAAATCAATCAATCAATCAATCAATCAATCAATCTATCAGTCTATCTGTATTCATATACAAGTAGGGCTCGGCGATAAAACAATAACGATATCTATCGAAAATTAATTTCCCTCAATATTAAGATGACACATGGACAATTTGCTTTTCAATATCCGGCATTCTGCCATGTTTTGGTAGACTATACGATTAGCCAATCAAAAGGGGAATAGCTCCGGGTCTGCTTTGCGCTGAACCAATCATGTGCTGAATTAGAACTAAGTAGCAAACAACTGTGTAGTAGCAGACAGCAGCTACACGCAACCATAACCCTTTAACACGTAAAAACGTCGGTGGTGTGGAGGTATTTTAGTTTTTTGAGGTTGGACATGAAGCAGAGTAGTGTGTACTGCAAATGAATTCAAGTACATGTTCTCGGGGTATACCTCATATCTTTTTCACCACCTGAAGCAGTGACACGCCACAGAACACGCGCAATGCAAAAGGTTACAAACCCCGAGCGGAGTTAGGAGCCAAAACAGCCGATCATTCAGTCCGCTTTCTCCAGCGCAACGCCTTACAACGAAACATCGAAGACACACAAAGACCCCCACAGACGCAGTAGCTTATATCGACTGTTATGAAAAAAACATATCGTGATAAACTTTTTCCCATATCGCCCAGCCGTATATACAAGTGCATTCTCTTATAGGAATAAAAGCGCACATAAAACAGAGACATAACACTCTGATCAAAGATGTTATTCAATTTGATCGCCTCTCCCCATCGTCCTCTCTGTCTCTGCAGTTTAGAGGCTGAGTGATCCGTTTGCTCAGTAGGGTGCCAAAAAAATAGAACAGTACTTCTCGGTTATTTGGGTGAGTCCAAGTTTTTCTTTGGGAAGTTCACAAATTTCGTTCCCAGTTTGCTGAGCTCTACACAGAAGCCTTGAACACAGTTTTCAGGGTAGGGGAGCTTTCCTGAATTTCTGTGGGCTGTTTCTGTTGATTCAGGGGAAAATCCATTTTACAGCATGTGCAGCCGGCCAAGTGTCCAATTAGTGCGGTAAAAAAAAAAAAAAAGGCAGAATGAAAATTACATTCTGTGAATTCTGAAGCTGTCCTCGCCAAGGTCCGACACGAGGGAATCAATGACTTCACTGAAATATCAAACTGTCTCATAAATTATTGTCTTTCATTGGCTACAACCTTGATCTGCCGGAGTGAGGCAATTTCACCATCTTTGCAGCCGAAGATGAGCCGCGGCTCTTCAGCTTCACTCCTGCGGATATTCAAATAATTGCCCTCCACTCAGCGCGAGAGAGAATGAATTTGAATAATGTATTGCAATGGGGAGAGAGGCCACAAGGCCTCCGAGGTCATAAATTCTGCTGCTGCGTCGGCCCGGCCCACGGGAACGGGAGGCACACGGGGTTGTTTATAAAATGCCCTTGGAAAAATGAGTCTAATCCCCAGCCAAACCGTAAGCCATGGGGAGAGCATTAGATAACCCACAAGCTGCAGAGTAATGAGAGTAATGAGGGAGATGGAGAAGCAGAGCCAGGACACGGAGAATGCATCCATTTATTGGCTGTGTGCTCTGATTGCCCAGACCATTTGAGACAAACTGGAGCCTGACACAGAGCTGGAGTCCATTTCGTCTGATCAGCAGCAATAAGCGCTTCCCCTGCCAGGGAGAGCTCCAGGACGCCTGCAGCCATACATCATGCCCATTGTGTAACCACTCCCACTATGTCTGTTCATCGAGTTTCGACAACAGAGTGGACGCTGACTGGACGCACACACACATATCCACTTTTAAACCCAATAATCTTGACCCTTTAAACGTCAATAACAGATAGATAGTGTGTTTCTTTGGAGTGGAGCTGCAGCATTAAAAGTCAGAGGTCGTATATCTAAGAATAAACAAGGTGGTGCGTTTACTATTTGTGTTTCATGACACTCACCTCACCTCTGTGTTCACACTGTGCGCAGCTGTATCACCTCGTAAGAGCTGTCGCTAGTCCTCTTAATATATAAGCACCAAGATCTTTGTTTTCTTTAATCGTACCTGTGTTTTGTATTATTGTGCAGGTGGTGTTTTTTCCGTTTATATAGACATCCTTGGCTGCTAATGCGGAGGTTAGAGGGCAGGAAAAGAGAGTGTCTGTCTGAGAAAAGTGCTGTTTCTCT